AATAGGTGACAGGATGCGTGAGCAAAAACATACTTTGGAAGAGAGATCCCGTCGTCTCCAAAATAATCCTGAACGGGCGAGTCAGCGCCGGTCACAGGAAACGTCGGAAGAGAGATCCCGTCGACTCCAGACCGTCCGTGATCCGCAGAGTCAGCGCCGGTCAACAGGAAACGGCAGGACAGACATCCAGTCGACTCCAGAACGCGCGTGATCGGCAGAATCGAGACAGGTACGGGATAGCGCCAGGCATGCCGATGGCACAAACAAAAATATTGTGGCCAGCTGTTTGTTGCCATCTGTATTTGATTGTACGGTACGGGACAAATACGGGATAGCGCCAGGCGTCACACAAAAATATATATATATATATATATACTCAATCTGCGGACAGAACTGTTTCGTCCTTTGTGGACTCGTCAGCGCAGCACAGAGGAAATGAGACCGAACCTGATAGCAATGGAAATAAAAATTTCCAATCAGGCCCGAACGTACCTTGCCAGAGTGCTCAAACTGACAAGTCAGTGAGCTCTGCATAAAGCAAACAGCAAAGGCACTACCCCACGCAAGAGTGCTCAACTGCTACAAGAGCAGGAGCGAAATACTCAATCTGCGGACAGAACTGTTTCGTCCTTTGTGGACTCGTCAGCGCAGCACATATATATAAACAGTTTCCTCTGAGACAAAAATGCGATAATACTATATGATAATACTCATCTACTCCACGGTGCGTGCGTTCACGGTGAGGAAGGACGTCCTACCTACAGGCCAATTATCCAAGTTGATTTATCACTTCGAGTGTCGGCAATGTGAGAGCCGATATGTAGGTAGGACTCTTCAACATCTGGACGCACGCATCCGACAACACGCACCGCTACACCTTATTCCACAACACGCACGATCCACTCGACCACGGAGGGGACGTCCAGCAAAGAATCATCCTGCTACAAGATGGTCCAACGCAGCGGCATCAACACCAAGCAACGTCACCTCACAACTAACTAGACCACCAGAAAAACAACCGGACAAGACACCTACTGGCGTGGCAGTGACAGGAACCGCATCAACCAGAAGAATGACAAGATCGGCAACGGCGGCGATGGCAGCGACTAAAGTACAGACAGAGGCAACGGCTAGGGTCCACTCGACTAGCCATGTGAAATCGGATGTGTCCACCACACATGCTGATTGGTCTGATGTTAGTTCTGATAAGTATGAGTCGTCCATTGCTAGTCATTTGTTTGAGCATCCTGATTGTCGTGCTGTGTATTCAGATGATTGTTTTTCGATTGTGTCACGTGTACGCAGTGCTAGATTGCTGAATGTTTTGGAAGCTGTATACATCCACACAAGGAAACCCAACCTTTGCAAGCAGAAACAAATCAAATTCACACTTAGGCTGTTAGGTAGGTCGTCAAAACCTCGTTAGTTACATGTATGTCCAGTGGTTGTCTCTTGTTGTCGCACTACATGTCGCGCTTATTCTCGCATTTGCACCTTTGTGTCATTATTGCAATTTTCACTGTTTACTTTACCTATCTTCTTTTTTTCTTTCTTTTTTGCGCTGTTTTACCACCTTCTTACTGTATTTAATCCACTGTTCCTGTTCCTTTTCCCTTGCCTGTATTTCACCTGATGAGAAGGCTTGAAAGTATACTTGTGAAGACAAAAACTTTCAAGATGTTTGTAATGAGCCTGAAGTGTGTCCTTTTTATGAGTATTATATACCAGTTAATAAAAAATAAACACAAACTATTAATCAAGTGGCTATGGAACAGACGTTACTTCAGTATCGTTTGGCGCTTGCCAGGGTCCACACAGCTTTGACACGTTACATGCATGATGAGCAAGCAAAAAAGCATAGCGTAGGGCCCTGAGCTTCCAAGCTTTCTCGTGTTTGTTTGTTTGTTTGTGTCATGCCTGGCGCTATACCGTATCTGTCCCGTACCGTACCATCAACAGAATGAGTATGTATAGTAGCATTATGTATAAAAGCGGTCAGCACCAAGAAATGAGAGACTGTAGAGGCCTGGCATATATGTATGCGAAGTGTATGGGGGAGGGGGGGGGGGGGGGATGCATGCAGGGCGATAGTGCAGTAACGTCTGGCGCTAGTCAGGGTCCACAAAAACTTCCTCCGTTAACAAAAACTTCGTGATGGATTTTGATGGATATGAAAACGCTTAGAACAACTTTCCTCAGCCACGAGACTCACGTCGGACTGCAGACTTCTGAAAGAATGCATGATCATTAAGCATTCGAATCTGGGCTTAGCGCAGGTTGAACGAGAACCTGAATTCAGAATTATTTGATTGCGCCGTGCTATCGGAGCAGCTGCTTGTTTCTTTCGCTCAGGACCCTACGCTAGGCTTTGTTGCCTAGCTCATCATGCATGTTATTCGAGCAGATGGGAACTTTTTGTAATACAATGACGTAGCCGATCAGTTCATTGTGGTAAGGTTGGGCATTGTAGCCGTCATGGTCGACGTAAAACACTATAAGAACGCAACGAAGTTGGGGCCAAAGAGAAAGTTCCATCATTTTTAATAACATACATGATGAGATAGGCAAATAAGCATAGCGTAGGGCCCTGAGCTTCCAAGCCCTCTCGTTTGTAATACATGTAGTAATTTATTTGTAATACATGTAGTAATTTATTTGTAATACATGTAGTAATTTATTTGTAATACATGTAGTAATTTATTTGTAATACATGTAGTAATTTATTTGTAATACATGTAGTAATTTATTTGTAATACATGTAGTAATTTATTTGTAATACATGCAGTAATTTATTTGTAATAAATGTAGTAATTTATTTGTAATACATGTAGTAATTTATTTGTAATACATGCAGTAATTTATTTGTAATACATGTAGTAATTTATTTGTAATACATGCAGTAATTTATTTGTAATACATGTAGTAATTTATTTGTAATACATGTAGTAATTTATTTGTAATACATGTAGTAATTTATTTGTAGTACATGTAGTAATTTATTTGTAATACATGTAGTAATTTATTTGTAATACATGTAGTAATTTATTTTTATCACATGGCACGTGATTGTTGCCCGTACTCCAGCGAATCAGCGCCTTTCGCGCCGCGGGCAATAATATGCGATATTGCCCGCAAAAAAATAGTTTATTTGCCCGCAAAAAAATAGTTTATTTCAGTGATCGCGTGACCAGGTGACTACGATCGTGACGACTCTGTAGACTGTACGACTCTACGACGAGTCGCAGTGTAGCATTGAGACGAAGATGGAATTCTTTTTGGAGATGGACATCCCGGCAAAGGACATGGCCTCGGACGTCTGCCGTGTGGTGCTTGCAGGGATCATTTGTTCAGTCATGTTGGCAGCCTGACCGTCGGTAAGCTTGTGGATAATATTCAGTTCTGCTCGAAGTGGTACTGTGATCACAAACAATTATTTGAAATAACACAAATTCAACTCAGCGTCGTGCGTTTTCAAATCCTCGCAAAGTCACTGCCTGTGTGTGGTCTTCATGTGCCACGCAAAACTCTTACCAGGCTCATCTCACCTTTGCTTGAACAACAAACACAACAATTCAGGAATGTTTTGCAATGAAAAATACAGCTATCTCATAATCTGGAGCTGAAAAAAAGAAGAAAAATTGTCCTCAGAATTGCACACCAGGGAGTCGTCAAATACTTGCACTTGTTGCAGTACTGTATTTGACAACTTCCTGATACACATGTAAACATGAAGAAACTCTTTGTGGTAGCACTCGTAATTTTTCAATTGAAATTATGATTCTGCTGTATTTTATTGTCGTTGCCATGTCTATTGCTATGACGATGCGGTGCCGGCACTTTTTTTCTGTCTCCGTCTTTCAGCACTGTATACTCTCTGATGGCCTGTAGAAGACTTTTTGTTAGGGTGTAGGAGAAATATCTTCATTTTTCCTGTTTTGATAATGATAGCACATCAATATACATTGTGGTCATAATGTGTTGGCATTTGGGCTAATTTCAACAGCAGCCCAATGGTCTGCTCTGTGGGCCATGTGATAAATTTGTTATCGCATGGTTGCTGCGGGCCTTATGTCATATTATTGCCCCTCGAGGTTAGCCCTCGGGCCTACGGCCCTCGGGCTAACCTCTCGGGGCAATAATATGCCATAAGGCCCTTGCAACCATGCGATAACATATACGTAATACCAAGAGTACATAACCCCCCAGAGTGTGCAACTCCACTATGGGTGCTGTCCCGACAGAATTTCAAGTTGACGTCATTTTGATGATGCAATGCGCACTGTACACGGATTATCAGACGAATCCGGAACCTGTGGTTGACCGAAGCCGATCGATCCTGTACAAATTATTGCAAAGAAAAACGTGTGATGCGTTGACACCCGTACACATGTTGTAAATCACTGCTGCAGGGAGCATTGCGTCATAAATAATGACGTCAACTTGAAATTCTGTCGGGACAACAGGGTATGTGGGAGTTGCACACTCTGGGGGGTTATGTACTCTTGGTAATACATGTAGTAATTTATTTGTAATACATGTAGTAATTTATTTGTAATACATGTAGTAATTTATTTGTAATACATGTAGTAATTTATTTGTAATACATGTAGTAATTTAATTGTAATACATGTAGTAATTTATTTGTAATACATGTAGTAATTTATTTGTAATACATGTAGTAATTTATTTGTAATACATGTAGTAATTTAATTGTAATACACGTAGTAATTTATTTGTCGTACATGTAGTAATTTATTTGTAATACATGTAGTAATTTATTTGTAATACATGTAGTAATTTATTTATAATACATGTAGTAATTTATTTGTAATACATGTAGTAATTTATTTGTAATACATGTAGTAATTTATTTGTAATACATGTAGTAATTTATTTGTAATACATGCAGTAATTTATTTGTAATACATGTAGTAATTTATTTGTAATACATGTAGTAATATATTTGTAATACATGTAGTAATTTATTTGTAATACATGTAGTAATTTATTTGTAATACATGTAGTAATTTAATTGTAATACATGTAGTAATTTATTTGTAATTCTGAAGTACAATGTACGTAGGTCCTACCTGTCACCGACCACCTGGCACACCATCATCCTCCTCTCCATATCAGCCATGTAATTGTTAGATGCTGCGCTGCGCTGGTTGCTTTCTGACATGAGCACTCCACCGTTAGCCTATTCCCCGACCTGTTGTTACGTAGCGTACCGCTGAGCACAACACGCTAGTCGCTAGTGCAGAGGATGTTCTTATGAATCCGGTGATGCACAAAACTATTTCATGTACGATTAGTAAATACATCTATTTCAAGTAGTAGTTGATTTTGTGATGGAAGTACTGTCGAGTGTCGTGGACATGGAAATCCATTCGAATGACCGGGGTCGGCGCCCTCAGCGAGTAGATCTACAGAACGCTGCATGCAGTGCACATGTTGATCCGATGCGACCAGCGCGCTGCTTGCATTGATGCATGTGTGTATGGATGCCCAGCGACCTGGGGCCCGGGGCCGCTAGACGTGCGACCAGATTTCCATGTTCACGACAGTCATGTCAGTAGTTGAAAACTGTCAAAGGATCAACGACTACGTAACGTTGTTCGTAAGTACTAATGCCTTGTTATGGCAAGAAAGGTGCGCGTCTCGGTCCTGACCTGGAGTATGATTTATCCGAGACATTCAGCCCTGTGACAGTGTCCAATGCTCAAATAGCTAACACGTCCACAGGACCACAGCAGAAATCTCTAACTAGAGAGGTTTTGCATTCCGAATTTCGGAATTATTTTCGGAATGTGGCGGCAGCAGTCGAAAAAGTAGTCGAACTTTCGGAAGTGTGGTGGCGAAAGTGCATGGTTTTCCGAAAATGGATTTTCGGCTCTTTCATGTTTGGGAGTGCATATTTGAATACAAAAAAGTGTATTTTTCATGTTTGTGTTTTTGCTTTCTGCTGCTCTCGATTATTTGAAATTTTTTCCACGTACCGGGGTATGTAGTTTTGATTTTTGCTGCTCTCGCTGATCTCGCCATGTTGACTAATCTTCTCACACTCCATCACAATCTATCTTTCTTTGCCATGGAGCCTGCTGACCGTACAAGACAGTAGTTCGCCAACCTCGTCTTCAGCTGTTGGATCACTTGGTCAACCATCAGTCCGTCCTCGTCTTCGAACCGCACCCAAATTCAGTTTGACCTGCACATGGATTTGATCCAGCTCAACCCCTTCGACGCTCTCCATTTTGTTTTGCATGGCAACCCTTGGAAACGAAGTCGAATCAGATTTTCGGAATGCAAAACACTGAAAATGCCGTTTTTCGGCACGCGCTTTTTTCGGAAAAGCACAGTCGAAAATCATTCCGAAATTCGGAATGCAAAACCTCTCTACTATCTTGCCCCAAGCTATATCTCATGCCTGGCCTTGGCCTTGTCGAACCTGAAATGCATTGCATGAATGCTGGATTTTTGAAAAAGAAAAGTGAACTCGTTGAAGTCTTCAAGCGACTTCAGTCAAGTGAGCCGGTCACAGTCAGAGCCCTCACTTTCTCTATCTCTCTCTCTCTCGCGCGCGCGTGCGCTCTCTCTCTCTCTCTCTCTCTCTCTCTCTCTCTCTCTCTCTCTCTCTCTCTCTCTACCTCTCTCTCTCTCTCTCTCTCTCTCTCTCTCTCTCTCTCTCTCTCTCTCTCTCTCCTCCCTCCCTCCCTCCCTTCCTCCCTCCCTGCCTCCCTCCCCCCCTCTCTATCTCTGAAGGCACACCTTCACACAGAATCTCTGTTTTCCCCTGTGGTGCGTGTTCTGCGCTTTGATCCTGAGACCATAATTGGTCGGAGTAGCGCACTTCACCTCACCTGCACATCTCTGTTAGCACATACATGGGTTTTGTATGTTCTTTGCTGTTGTTGTTCTTGTTGTTCTCCTCCATTCAATGTAGGAATGTGGTCTTTCATAAAAACAAAACAAAAAACACATGAAAGTCATCATGACAGTCAGTTGTACTAGATATACTGCTTTCAAGCTACATGATCACGACTGTAGTCTATATTTGGAAGTATGTGTGTAGGAATGTTGCTAGTACTACCGGTACTACTGCTGTCACTGGCACTCTCCTGACAACACAGTGCTTCTATAGACAGTGATGCTAGCAACACTGCATGCTGCTTGTACTACACTGAGTACTGATATTTATACATGAACTTAATACTGTGTAGGCTGCTTAGTCTGAGTTTGAGTTAGTTGTATGCTGCTCTGCTGGTCTGTCATGACACGTGCATTCTGACAATCTGCTGGTCTGTCATGACAGGTGCATTCTCACCATGACAGGTGGGACGTCATTGTGACGTCAAGCACTGTCTGCCTCAGGCCTGTGCTCAGAAACAGTAGATGGGACAGTGAGAAACGCACACACACACAAACACACAATGCACTACAGTACACACTCACAGTGCTGTAGAACAGTGCAGTTACAGTAGCAAGGGAAAAACCCTAGTACTGGCTCTCATGTACTCATACAATACGTCAATAGAGTAGTAGGTGCTGCTGCTGTTGCCAGTGCCCGCAGTGTAGCCTGGGTACATGGGTGCACAGGGTGCGCTTGCCCCGTCTCACTCGCGGCTCGTATCTTTGTGCAAGTCATCTATTATATACAAACTTTGTGCTTTGGAATTACCATGTTATGATTCTTTTTAATATTTCCTTCTCTCATAATATTATATTCGTTCTTAGCAGGAACCGGAGGTTTTTCCTATGGTGAGAAGGCAGAATTGCATGTGCTCTACACGAATTCAAATAAAAGAAACAAACAAAAAAATGTAAACACGGCCTAAAGGGAACGGCCTGCGTGACGTACATACAGCATGCAACGCATACAGTCATAAGTGTACGGTAGTGTACGCATAAAAGAGTCCATATATTCATGTACATGTATTACGACAAGGCCACCTCTTCAGAAAAACGTAACTACTCGAAAAGTCAAAGAGTGACAATTCGAACGCGCCCCAAGTGCCCACAGTTAGGTCAGATATGCTGAAGAAATACAGTATCGAGGTGACACTTGGGCTGGCGGCAAAGCTACGAAAGAAAAGAAACACTGCTGAAGCACGATCCCTCCTCTGGAAGAGCACAACAGGGCAAGCAAGATTTGTTTTTCTTTTTCAGCAAAATGGGCTGGGTGCCATCAATTCTGTGATTACGCGGCAAAACAAAGCGCATGACGTTAGTGTTGAATGCAGTACAAAAGCAGTGCTGTTGTGTGTGCGCTAGTTAGGATTGTTGCTAACGAGTAGATCCGCTAGCAGAGGGCTGAGCTAGTACCCCATTTGTGGGTGAAGTGTGTGTGGTTTGAGAATGGCATTGACATCATCTGATGGGATGCATCCCTAGACCAGCGCCCTGTTGTTGAGTTAGACCTTACGTGACATTGTACAATTGTACTGCTTGTAACACGCACAGGCACTGTCGTCTGTTATATTTTATTATTTTATTTGTTTATTTCTGCACCTCGTGGCATGTCAAGACAGCCAATTGAATTGAGAAGAGGGTGAGACCAACCACGGAGGAAGAGAAAAAAAGAAAATGAAGAGCACGCACACAAAGTGGGAAGGGATTAGCAACTTACAAAGCAATGGGATGCTCAGCGAGCTATGCAGCGGAAGTGGTGACTGTGACTTTGTTTACTGGGAGATACTGAAGTGCTGTCTGACGGGGGTACGGAATTTGGGCATATCTGGAGCTTGTCTAACACTGGGAGGCAGTTGGAGCCACGTGAAGTAGGAGGAAAAGAAAGGGGAATTTACGAATAGGGTAGACCTAGCTAGGGGGAGACGAACGCAGCTTCGGGTGGTGCCACCTGAATTGAACCAATTAAGGGACTGTAAATGAGCAGGGTGCTGGTCAAGAAAAATTGAATGTGCCAGGGTGCACTTGAAAGCATCAAGGTAATGTTGCAGAGTGGTAGTGGATGCAGCAGCATACAAGTCTAGATTTGAGATTATAACGATCAGTACGAAATATGATGCGCAGTATACGGCGATGGAGAACTTCTAATTACCTATGTGGGTTTTGTTAATGGTGGACCAGTCAGGGAAGCCGTACGTGAAGAAGGGAAGAATGTATGATTTATAAAAAATAATCCGGCAATATTGGGGCAAATGGGACAAGTGACTTGACATTATGCCGACAGATCGGCATACTTTGGACGACACCTGATCAGCATGGTGAGACCAGGAGAGGGCGGAATCTATGACAATGCCAAGGTGTTTATGCTGGGGCGCTACAGAGATAGGGTGACCGGGATCATCGGGAAAGTGGAAGATGGGCACTGGATCTGTGGGAGGGGGAAAAAGGAGGAGCTCGGTTTTGGTCACATTTGGCATTTAAAGGTACCAAGTGCTCATCCAGTGAACCATTCGAATGACCGGGGTCGGCGCCCTCGGCGCGTAGATCTACAGTACGCTACATGCAGTTTACATGTTGATCCGATGCGACCAGCGCGCTGCTTGCATTGATGCATGTGTGTATGGATGGCCAGCGTCTTGGGGCCCGGGGCCGCGGCCGCTGAACGTGCGACCAGATTTCCATGCTCACAGAGTTGAAAACTATGAAAAGATCAACGACGTTCGTATTAAAGTACAACATGAATGACATGTTTTGGCAGAAAACTTGGTGCGCGTCTCGGTCCTGACCTGGAGTATAATCTATCCGAGACATTCAGCCCTGTGACAGTGTCCAATGCTCAAATAGCTAACACGTCCACAGCTGAAATCTCTAACTATTAACTAGTACCGGTACTACTGCTGTCACTTGCACTCTCCTGACAACACAGTGCTTCTATAGACAGTGATGCTAGCAACACTGCATGCTGCTTGTACTACACTGAGTACTGATATTTATACATGAACTTAATACTGTGTAGACTGCTTAGTCTGAGTTTGAGTTAGTTGTATGCTGCTTTGCTGGTCTGTCATGACACGTGCATTCTGACAATCTGCTGGTCTGTCATGACAGGTGCATTCTGACAATCTGCTGGTCTGTCATGACAGGTGCATTCTCACCATGACAAGTGAGACGTCAGTGTGACGTCAAGCACTGTCTGTCTCATGCCTGTGCTCAGAAACAGTAGATCACTAGATGGGACAGTGAGAAACGCACACACACAAACACACAATGCACTACAGTACATAGTGCTGTAGAACAGTGCAGTTACAGTAGCAAGGGAAAAAAACCCTAGTACTGGCTCTCAGTCTCATGTACTCATACAGTAGAGTAGTAGGTGGTGCTGCTGCTGTTGCCAGTGTCTGTACAGTGAAGTGTATGTATGAATGACTTGTACTGATACATGCTATGAACAGCGCACAAGTGC